CTAGAAATCATTTCTGATCACAGGGATCAAACGTGTCCTTCACACATGCAGGAAGTAATTTACATCTGTTTAACATGTTAATGAAGGCGTGTCAGGGGAGGAGTCTTACCTGCGCTCAGTTCCGCGTTAATTGTGATGTACAAAAGAAATGTGTGTGGATTCAGACGTACGCACAGTTTGATACATCTGGATGTTTTTGTGTGTACGCTGTTTTCTGGATTTGACCGTACTTCAGGTTTCAGTAAGAAATCCACTCAAGTCTTTGTACATGAGGCCCCAGGTGTGTGTTTACTGGTACAAACTGACACAAAACAGTTATATGTGTTTGAACAAAACAAAAGTAAATTAAATCTGTGTCTCAGATTTTTTTCATTGTTTTTCCCCAAAACTCTCAGGGAGGGCGTTCTCTATGAAGATGTCAGTTTTATGTGTTTGTAGATAAATATGAGCTCATTTAAATCCTACTCTGTATTAAAGGGTTTTGGGAATTAGAGGTAAATTGTTTATTTGGGATCAGACTTTATGTAAATTAATGCAGGATCACATGAAACACAATTTACAGTTCCCACGTAGATTCTGTTGATTTGGTTTCTTTAGTAAGGTTTTATTATTTTCAGTCATAGTTTTTAATAGAAGTATTTTTAGCTACAAGAAAGTTTATAAATTGGGAAATTTTTTTGCAGTTTTGATAAATTTAAAAGGCGATATTTGAAAGTTATTGCAGGTAACCCTCTGCTCAGTGTGAAAAAACTGATTATTTTTTTAAAGAAGTTGATTGATGAATCCTTTACAGTCGTTCTTTAGATGCTATCGTCAATGTAAACGCAGATAAAAGGTGGTGATTGTGCGGGTAAAACTGTGTAGTGGTGGTGGGCTTCATTCTCATGTTCAACAAAAGTTTTAATACATGTTTAAAAAACAGGTGGACATACACAGATGTTATTTAGAGCAGGAGATCTTAACCTTTTTGACCTCGGGGCCCAATTTATTGAACATAAAGTGACACGAGGCCCAGTCAGACATTACCAATGTATGGATCAAAATGATAATTATTCTAAATCTTGGTTTAATTTAAGAGGGAGACAACTGAAACGGAGGCCTCCGTTT